TATAATTGGCAGGAGCGATGGTTTCATCATATATAAGATTACGTTTTCCTGGACTATAAAGTATATCACCTGACAAGTATCGTCTGTTGCCTTTACTTCTGAGAGAAGCTTAGGCTGCCGATGAAACTTCTGACGATGAGGATGCCTATGGACAGGAGGATGGGAGGGGAGAAGAAGGTGAAGAAGAAGAACCGAAAGAGACAGACCCGGTGATCCCAGATGAACAGGTCTTGCAAGAGAAGGTAGAAACACATGCAAAGGAAACGAAGGAACCTAAAATGCAACAGCTGACCAATCCACCTGTCAAGAAGGATGAACGAGCTGCCCCAGCCCTCCCAGCAAAGACTTCGCCATCAGAGACCCCGCCAGTTGAAGGTAGTACTGGCAACACCCCTGCTGATACCACATCCCCGGTTTCAGAAACAGAGAGAAACTGGTTTGCAATTAGAACTTCAACATCGATGTTTGTTTGAGCAAGAGTTGTATGTCCAATGATGCAAAGCATAGTGTTGCTGATCAAGGGTTGGGGATGTCAGCTCTGGGGTCTTATATATCTGCGACGGCTACCATACACATGTATGTTCAGGAAGGAAACTGGACTTGCTCAAGAGAAAGCAAGAGATTGCTGCGCGGCTCGAAAGGTGAGTGGGTGGGCTTGGGCGGGGTTCTCGTCCTACAACACGCATGTTAATTGTAAATCTATATTTGCTGCATGTGCTCATGTGCGATCTTCATAGGTTAACCATGGAGGATATGACTGATTCAGGATTAAGATATGGAAGTGGGAAACTATTGTTCTGATGGTCTCGCGCTGGTCTATCTATGTTTGCTGCCCTTTGCAGGTTGAATGAGCTGAAAGCCAAGGGCTCATCAAGCCTTTCTCCTCCAGTGTCAGGGGGCCAAGGACAGGGTATAGATGCAATTTTGTGTTGCGACTCTTATGCGATATTTTCTACACTCTGCCTGTTTGTACTGATCAACATGTAATGATCTATATATTATATATATATGTGGTTTTAGTGAATCAAACACATATATAACAAATGGTTTGAACTTTGCTGAAGTAATGCCGTTGGTTCCACAACACTGCAGATCGAGATCCCCGTCTTTATGTATCCATATAATGAACTGATAATCATACCACCATATTGTATCCTGTTGTTCAACCAATGCATCGGGAGGATCTGGCGGTAACAAACCACCTACTGCAGCCACCGACTTCCAAGAGACTCTCCCTACTGATCTTCAAGCCTTACCCGTTCCACCGGAAACCTGGGCAACTTTTTCACCTGATGTCCCAGCTGATGCTAAGCGAGAGTCTTTTCAGAACCGACGAATGGCAAAGGGAGAAACAATCGAGATGGGCTGTGAAACCTCCTGCGAACTGCAGCCTATCACAAAAAAAAGCGAACCTGACCAACCAGCCCAGGACACTCAGAGAAAACCCAAGTCCTCCAAGCCTGCTGCTAAGGTGGGGAAGTATGGGAAAGGGGTGTCGCTTGCAATGTTTTGACTTATTGGATTCTGATTCTTGCAACATTACTTTCCTTTGATATATAAAACTCGATTTCCTTGTTGATGCGAGGCAGAGGTAGAAAAGGATACACCTGAGGAGTATGTTACAAGAAACGACCAGTTCAATCTCAAGCCAGAGAAGGCTCCGAGAGAGAGGGGACGGGGAAGAGCAAGAGGAAGAGGACGTGGAAGGAATGGTAGAGGTGAAGGGGCCGGGAGAGGCACTGAAAATGGAGGTCGAGGTCGGGGTCGAGGAAGAAATGTTTCAAAAAACAAGGCTGGCCAGTCAGCAGACTGGGATGAGAACACATGGTGGGATGAGACATGGCAGGAAGGCTGGGGCTATGAAGGGGAGGAATGGGCACAGGATGGGTGGGGGACCCCGGGCTACTACTGGGACAGCTATGCATGGCAGGATGGCAAGCAGTCATTGCACAACCTTGCTGGCCAAAACGAAGGAACGCCAAAGACTTCAAAGGTTGAGAAGAGCAAGCCTGAGAGCAGCAAGCCAGAGAGCAGCAAGCCAGAGAGCAGCAAGCCAGAGAGCAGCAAGCCAGCAACAAAAAGATTAAAAACTGAAGAAGAACTTGCAGAGAGCAACGCAGAGACCAAGAAGCCAAAGAAGAAAGCACCAGCAGCCCCCAAGAGAAATGCAAAGAAAAAACAAAGGAAGGAAGTTGAGACTGAGCGAGCATTGTCATCGACTTCTTCATCCAAGAAACGTAAGAAGGCAGAAGGTCAGGCAGAGGAGACAGAAACACAGGAACCCGATGTGTCCACTAGCAATGACAAGAAGAAAAAAAGAGAACCGCACCACAGGCAGCCCAGGCAAGCACTGAGTTTATGAAAAAAATCAAGAAGTACTACAAACTTTTCCAAGACAGGGATGAGACTGCAGCAACAGATGAAATCAAAAATGAAATGAAATCCCGCTTACAATGTGGCAAGGCTTTGACTGAGTGCAGGTTGAACATCTACTGGCAGGGGCCGAAATGTGGTGTTACTTCAAAATCAAACAAGAAGGACATAGCACACTTTACGTTCAATGATGTTGAAGACATCACCTACATGTCGTCGTTGGCCCTGGCATTGAAGTGTGCAGAGCTCTTTGTAACTTGGGTGCACAATGCGGGGCTGTACCATGTATAGTTTCAAACTATTATCATGCATAGCATACAAATCAAAGATATGAATCAAGCAAATATATAACATTACTTCTTGCATGATCAGCACCAACTCTGGGTTATATTGTGTTTTTACATCACCTGTCGAGTGCCCATGCCTTCTCAGCCTAGGCACTGGATGTTGATGCAGGCTTGGAAGTTGGTGAGATTAACGGTGAGGAACTGTCGAAAGACAATCCGTGGTGTGAGACACTAGAGGCTATTTTGAAAAAATCGGCTTGGGCTGTTGTAGGCCATGATGTGTAGGCGTGTTGTTGCTTAAATTTTTCACGTGCGACCTGAGTCATTTGCAGTATTGCTGGCTGCATGTGTGTCGGTGGGATGCCACCATAGTTAGCTCAGGTGGCAAATCATTTTTGTGGGTTCACACGTTTGCGCCAGCTTTGGCACTGCGGGGCGTGCAAGTTGTAATGACCCAGTGGCAACCTACTAGTCTTAGTGTAAATCCCAGTCATATTTTTCAAGCCGTTTTGGTTTTATCATTTATACTTGTTTCGAGTGATTTACATGTCAAATTGAAATCATTATCGTCATGGTTTATCAAGTCATTTTGATTGAGCAACTGGTCACTGCAGCACGCTTAGCTTTTGACCTCGGCCAACCAATTACTACGACAGTTTGGGTGACCACACTGGCATTTGATGGGTGAAGATCCATACTCTGAGAAATAAACAGGAAAGTCCAATCTTCAGAACATGTATTGCGATCTTGCACCAAAGACCACATTTAATCTTTGAATCTATATTCATCGGGTACCCTGATTTCAACAACCCTTTCTGTCCTGCTTCAGAAAATGATGTCAAAGCAGCACGTCTAGGATAGGCCTGGCACAGCTGGACTCTGGAGGAAACCAGCTTGAGGCAGAAAAAAGGATTGGAGAAAGCGTCCTGATTTTGGGAGGGTTTCATGTTTCGATATCAGTAATTTTTGAACTGATGGAAATCCCACACGAGATTGGTTCAAAAGGTTTCGAGGTGTTTGCCAAGAATTCCACACACATGCGCCTGCATGATGTCATACATTTATAAACAGTCTCCAACAATTTCTGCAACGTCCCCACCAATTTATATATAGATCGATCGACCTATCAATTTTGATATATTAAATTGAAATCATTTAAGTAGTCAAGACCCCTTTCTTTCATTCCTGGAACCTGCAATGTTTGCCCCACATTTGGTCTACCAACCGATGCCCGGACCCTAGGTCATCCTATGGTAGTAGATGGCCTTCGAAAGCTCCAGAAGGGGCGGAACCTGTGGAGAGTGCGGGTGGACAACTTGAAGAGAGCTAGTACTGCTTGCATGGTTTGTTTTGGGATGGGTTTAGTCTTTTAAAGTGGTTTACATCCAGCTTGTCATACAAAATTGGGGAAAACCACAACAATTCCATGCAAAACAAACGATGTGAATTGGATCCTGGGTTGAGAAACTGTCAGGGATGAATCACAAGTGTAAAGAATGGCTTTCGCATCGCAGCCTTTTTCATACAGGTTGCATATACCACAAAGGTTCTTTGATGGCAATGACCTCCAAATAGTTTTCTGGATCTTCCATTATTTTCCATGAATTATGAATGATAGTCATGCCTCCAAATATAAACATTGATCAATTAATAACATGTTAAAGATAAACAAACATGATCAAAATTAATTGATATACTATTGTAATTTACTGCACGTATAAAAATCGGTCTATTCCCATGGTACCTGAAATCTCAGCTTTCTGTTCTTCACTGTCTAATCCCCTGCTGCCATGGCGTGGATCGATGACCTTATCTGGCGCTTACACAAGCTCCGTTGCCCCAAGGAAAATGATGTTGATGAATTAGCCTTACAGCATGCATGAAAAATATGTTGAACTGGAGCCAACAATTCATTCAAGTGAAGGGTTGGGTTTATCACACGTACTGCACTGGTTGCGCAGTAGTCTTGTGTATATTATTTTGGTTTTGTCCAGTTATCAGCGCACCTGTCCATCTGGCTTCAGGAGTTTGCGTACTTGATCCTTCTCATCACCTGGATGGATTTCGACTTGCGCCAGGCATTGCACTTTGGGGTGCTGGTCTCAAAAAAGAAATCCTCTTAAACAGGAAAAACACCAGGTGCATTTTGGGCGTGGGAATCCTAACATACCCAGATCAAATCGATATATCAAATAATTCAAATCGATATATTATATATGCTATCGACCTTTTATTATAGTTGAAGAATTGTTATCCGAATCTGGGAAGTGCCATGCTTCCTGTCTCCAGGAAGTCGACTACATAGAGTACTTCGCAGGCTTTGGGCGCATCAATGACACGATGAAATCGGCGAGGTACCGGAGTGTGAGATTCGATATTAAGGATCACAACCCCAAGCCTGGCACGAAACGAGCCAAGAAGACAAATTTCATGGACTTGAACAGTGCATCGGGATATGCGTTTCTATGGCGATAATATGGACTGTAATATCAATGTTTCATCAAAAGAGATCGACTTTTTTTATTAGATCTTCATTTGGGATTTGTCAATGCCCCATTCCCCAAACTTATGGGAGTTAATTTATATGTTTGACCTATGGAATCGGTTTAGCAATTGTGGTCCTGCAGTCCCACCTGTTGTGTTGCTCTGTAAGGTTAGCAATTCTGATCATGTTGAAGGGGATCATGAACAATTTTGCTGCACACTTCGGCATCAAGTGCAGCTCCTTCTGCAAAGTAAACGTTGGTACATCGATGAGATCTGCATGCACTTCGTTGGGTTTCAGTGACTATTCGTCGGTCTTTCTATCCAACAAGCTCTTGGAGAGGATTCCCTTCAGTGTTTGGTTGCTTTTACAACAAATTATAGTTAAGTGATGTATCATTTTTTTTACTGGAACACAGTTGATTTCATAAATGGATGTTGAAAACCAACTCCAGTGACCAATCAAATTGATTGCAACCGGTGGTCTCTTGCCTGCATAGCCGGCGCAGGACTTGCACCCTCGTAGTTCTTTGCACAGCCCTTGGGGGGGCATGGTCGTTGGAGCAACCTTCGGGATCTCTTCTTGAGTTTTATCCTACATGGAGGTTCATACTCGCAAGCATCTTTAGATGTGGAGGAGACCGAGCCGTCATATCCTTAGATGTTCTTTTCTATATGACCCATGTATATCAAGAATGTGACAACTTTATTTCGAGATAACTGGCATCATTTGTGACTATACATATATACTATATCCATCCATTCAATTGATCTACAATTGTACCATTCCACTAGGGGGTCCCTATATATGCCCATCAACTCTTCCATAAAAATCAGCTCAGGTGACCCTGGTGAAGTGGTGGATGCGCCACTATGATAGCGCAACAGCAAAGAGACATATGGGTTTTGCCAATACACCAGTGATTTCCAGATTGGACAAAGGGAAGTTATCTATGTCAGGCTTTCAGAAGAATCCTAAGCTTCGAACTTGCGAAAAGTATCAAGACGGTTCTGGTAAGACCCGCTACAAAGGCACTCGCTTTCTGAAGCAAACAGAGACACTTTACACCAACTTAAGGGTTACGGAAAATTTTGAAACTAATTTTGGGTATAGGTAGATGTCATTTACAGTTTCCTACGTTGGATCTGCAATATGACTCCCAGAATGCTCAAAACAACTGTTCTATGATTGGTCTAGTCATGTTCATTTTTTTTGCACGATATTTGCCAATGTTACCAATTGAAGGGTTTACCCGCCAACTAGTCCTCAGGATTTATCCTCCCCGATTTGCTCGTGCTGTATGCGACCTGGTCGAGGGCATGAAGATGACAGCGCGCGGTCAGCCTCAGATCACCATGGAGTCAACACCGCCAGCTATCGAAACGATTCAATTGGATTGGGAGTTTGACCCATCATTGTGGCAATACGTGGATTTCGGTGAAGTTTTCGCATACCTTCGGGGTTCAACCAATCTGAACATTCCCGAACCTTGGAAAACAATAATTCCAAGAAAATTATCATAGATTTCAAAGTCGAAATCGGAACAAATTGCAGTTCTGATGAAACCCAGGGTTTCCAACATGGAAAATTTTGGTTTAACACAAGTTTTTTCCAGAAAAAACAGGGTTAGAAATTTTGAAACATCGGAACCCGTGTTTAACCCGTGATTTACCCGTGACAACCCATGATTTTACAAGGGAAACCCTGGGTTTGGAGCATGAAACCCCGTGTTTGATATAAAACCCCGGGTTTCGCCGAACCCGTGACGAACCCGTGATTGACCCGTGATTTACCCATGACAACCCGTGAAAAAAATCACGGGTTGAGACCCCAAAAACCACCTTAAAATTTTCATCGATTTTTGTACTTTTTGTATGCTTACGATCGGCAAAACCCGGGGTTTTTCAAGCAGCAATTCAGATTTTCGATTTCATTTGCGTCGAACTTCAATCTTGGAAAATCCGAGAACACACAACCTACAGTTCCAGACGCGACCTTGCATGGATACGGAAGGAACACATGATATATATAGTATAGATCAGCCATGGGATCAAGATATCAAGATACCTGGAATTCATTCTTACTTTGAGCACTCGGCATGCACAAACAACACCATGGATTGCTGGTTCCACCGTTTTATCATCATGTCTAGACTGGATATCTGATTAAGCCATTTGGATCATTTTGGAAGTGTCGGCGTGTTCGTTTTCATCGGCATGGCAACCTCATGTTCGAACCTATGGAGCTGTGCCAGTTTGCAAGAGGGGGTCGACCATACGATGGGCCAGTGCTTTCATCCAGATGAAGAAGCCGATCTACTCAAAGAACTTCAGGACTTGAAGCATGTATCGATTCTACAACACTTTCATGTATCATTAAGATATATATGGATGATTTATGATTGATCTTCATATGTTTGCTTCAATTTCACTATATATATATATATGCCGTGATGCCAAGCAAACTGCATAGGTTCAAAATGGCACAACATCCCATTTTTCCAGGAGATTGATCTAGAGATCAAGAACTGTGATGATGGCATCCAGACCCCTCCAGTCAGTGCCAGAATCCTAGATGGTATCCCATTTCCCTGATCATGGCTTGTCATCCCGGCACCGCCCTTTTAGGTTGTGCCACAGACACCGTCGATCTTCTCGGATGCTACGCAAGCAGTCCAAACCTAAGCAATCCAAACAACCCATCGGGGTGTGTAACACATGAGCCCAGCGATGTGTGAGGCCACTGATGCGGAGCTAGCCGCTGCTCGAGGTTCTGTGGGTGATGAGCCGAAGATGGATGTCCCTCAAATAAAACAAGTTTGGGTGGTCGTGTTTGATATGACACCTCAAAATTAATATAACTTAAGTTGAATTGATTGGATTACTCGATATATTCACGCATGTATGATCTCTGTGCTGTAGGTGATGAAAAACATAGACAGACTTATAATATAGCATTACTTTATGGCGAATGCATGGTATTTATATCAATATTATATATATACCATGCATGTATTCTGTTGGTTTATAGGTTTCATCTCGGCTTGTAAGACCACCGAGGTTGAACAACACTCAGCAACACCTGTTGCAACACCTGTTCGCAAACGGGATGCTGATGCTTCTTCAGTGGGTGGTTCGGGGAAGGGTGAAGGCGAGCCAGATGTTTCTATGAAGCCGTGTGAATCACAGGAGTCCACCCAGCCAACAGAGTCAAAAAACACCTCTGCCACAGCAGCCTCAGCTAAGCCTGAAGGGGTTCTAGCAGTCCCTGGTCCCAAGCTGATTGGAGGTTTGACCCAACGCCAGGCTTGGTTTTCTGGAAACTTGGAGGGTTTGTCTTTAACACCGACCAGTTGTAATGTATCAATTGGTTTTGCCATATGATTATTTCCTCCGTCCTCCGTACCAGTGTTCCACACAAATTTTATTTTGCATGTTCAATGCCCAATTGCTGATCCCCTGCAGTTCAATCTTCGAAGAGCTGCAAAAGCACGGGTGGATCGGATGGTGAAACCACATGGCAAGAGAACTTGGCTGAACGTGCCCGAGTGGCTTAGGGAAGAATGGAGAACTGGTTCAAAGGATCAGATCGCAGATGTGCTCCGGGATAGCAACTTCAATAAGGATACCGTAGAATTTTGGTTGTACTTTTGGAACGACCCTGCTAATTCCCAAGTATAAGTGTGATATATCATATCGATTACTTAATATCGATATATATATATAATATATATATGCACCTGTCAGTTTGGGATGTCAAGGGGGAGAGATATGCCGGGTATTATGATGTTGATGTTGGTCAAAAATATTTCCTCATCCTTTATAAATAAAAATTGATATGTATATTACCTCTCAGAAAAAGAATTGCATGTGCACAGGAGATGTTCATTGCAACAATGAAGACGATCATCACGAAGAAGCAAAGCATGCAGCTGAAGCGAGAAGAGGGCTGGTATTCAGCTGCGGAAATGTCTGCAGATTTGGGCTGGTCTACGTAAGAGCCTTAATATATTCAAAAAAATCATATGAACGCTAAACAAGAATGAACACAATTTCTCAAGATTCATTTCACCAAAGATCGAGATATAGATTTTGTTGTGGATTATTTGTGGTCCAGTCCAACCTCACTGCATTACTCGAAGGTCTCGGGTACAGGGAGCTGTGCAGCGATGCAAGTCCATGGCAGCTACCCACGTCAGGCATGTGGGAACATGTCTGAATCTCCTGTTTGGGAAAATGTGGACAAATCATGATGGATCAAATTGTTTCGGGTTGTTTTCAACATGCAATATGTACGTGCATGTGTATTTCACAGTGTGAACTATATTTATAGTGAATCCTGATGTTGTTGCGTCTTGCCAGGCGCAATGCATATGATGGAGTTGAAGAGTTTTGGATCGTTATTCGTGAAACGGCCCTGCACACCACCGAGACCTCCTATGAGGAGCAGCATCAGAAAAATGCCAAGGCCCCCGGCATTCTTTCAAATCCTTTCCGATCATGTAGTTCAACTTCCCAGCTTGCTTCACCTGATGGCAGGCGACGGAGGATCCTACTTTCAAAGACGCTGGCATGGGGGATGCTCCTTTCGCTGGCTTGGATGCAATGCAAAAACGGGGTGAGTCTGAGGTAGCCGCAGGTAAAGCTGACCCAAATCACGACCGATATGGCCAGGCCTGGTGTTTGTATGTTAAATTGGATTAGATTAGATATATGATATTGAATACCTGTGCTGGTCTTAGGGAATCTAAGATACCCCAACTGCATGCAGTCAAACCTGGATGGATTTAGACCCAACAACTTTGCCAATGATAAAGCATATTTGAAATATTAATTGTTGTTTTCCAGATCTGTCCAATCCCTGGAAGGTTCGGGAGGATCTCAAGCGTTTCCTTGACTCCATGATGTCTAAGAGTGGCAAGTTGAGATCCCTTGTTCGGGAGTTGAATACCAACTACAGCCAGGATGCTGGAGCCATGCAGCTACTTACCTGGAAAAAAAACATGCAATGCATGATGAACGATTAATCTTTTCCTGGAATCCGTTTTGGGATATTTCCACCCATACACCTCCATAAAAATTTAAAGAGATGGTTTCTCCCATTCCACCTTCCTTCCAATGCTCAGGTGCTTACCTGCCTTGGAAAAGGCAATCAAGGAGGTAGATGGGGCGTACGACGCCTGCAACGAAGCATGGGCACTGGGAGAGGCTGACAAATTCCGGAGTCAGAAGTCTCTCGATTCAAATCATAACCGCAATTGGTATACTTAGGATTTATAAGTTGTGAAATCATGTAGTATAGTCAGGTTAGCAACTGAATGGGTTGATCAGAAGAAAATCAGCTATCATGCACGCATTAGACAACTGCACTCCTAAACATATATATATATTATATATATATCATACATCCATCTGGTCTGGGCCCGTGTGAGGTTTGTTGACACGGCGGAGGAACAGATGAAGAAGGCAACCTTCACGTGCTCACCTCATACATATATATCGATATTTTGATGGATCTGAAAGAATGGTTCAATACTGTTTGTTTTCTTGAGCTATCCCCTGGTTGAAATTGTTCTTTTTAGTTAACCTTATCCACCTCAGGTGCAGCAAAGCTCTCGCAGTTGAAAACAAGATCAGGAGAGCCGTTTTTGGGGTATCATCCACATGCCTGGTGTCCAGTCCTAACATGATCATTGATCAAGATGCGTGCTATATATTTTATGTCTTGCTGTTCTGGCATGCATTGATCCGACCCATGGACACATGTTTAAGTTAGATTGGTACTGCCGCAACACTCCAGGAACGCAAAGAAGTACTACTCCAAGAATGCGAGGGAGGTGGCAGCGCCCAAAGGACCGAACAAGGGAGTGAACAAGGGACCGACCAACAAGTCCGGCAATACTGAGCCGGAAACCACTGCAAAGTCAAAGGGTGCCAAGCCGGTCAAAAAGACCGCCAAGGGCAAGTCAAAGTCTCGCTAGTTAGTTTTCTCTTGAGAGCATGGACCACATGAACCATGCTGCGAGTGGCCAGGAACGCTTAGAGGCTTACCTAGCTGACACCTGCACACTGGGAGCATATCATATATATAGGTGTGAGTTGTATAGTATCCCATACATTTCACAAACAAACCGTTCGAATTCGTGTTCAATCGATCTTTAGTATGCAATATGAACAAATTTAATACCAAAACCATTCATGAAAATATTTTTTTTTGTATTGGGATCATGAAAAACCAGTGTGGGCGTGCAGAAGCACTGCGTTGTCCTCGGCTTTTCGGGGTCTTCTGGGATTAGAACCTGTTCCAACGGGCAAATCCCAAATTGTCCTTGGTGTTGGCCAGAACTCCAGCACCATGAAGTGCACCTGACGGGGTGACTCAGCCGGTGTGAGCAAACAATGTTGTGCTGAAGGGGTTGGGTGAGATCACTGACCATTGAGACAGCATCATGAAATCACATAAATTAAAAAAACATGTCGGTTGATTGAGTACCCCTAGCAGGAAGGAAAGCATAACCATCATAAGATCAAACTATGACTTCAATTTCTGGGACAAAAGTTATGAAACCCTATCTTAATGAATGTCTCCCTCAGCCAGGTCAGCCTGCGGGAAATGCATTGAGAAGTTTCAGCGCTGACATTGGTCAGGGTGTCGAAGCCTCAATGGGATGGAACGAGTCAGAATATGTGAACAGAAAGATTTGACACCCGTGTATCTACAACTGCAGCAATTGGCTTAATTCATTAACTATGATCCATATGGTCCCTGCTCGTGTGCCGATGCCATCATGCAGTGTTCTCCCATTGTCGAAGATGACTGGCTAGTAGAACTTTTATCTTCTCACCGGACTGTCCCTTGATTGCATGAATTTTCATTTGCACAGCCTCTCCAGTATAAAATCCAAGTCAACTTTATATTTTATATATACTATATACTTATTATATATATATATATATACCCTGAACGACCAAACCCGGGAAATTCCAGCTCATTCCAACAATTTGCAAACATGTTTTCTCAAATCCTTGCAGCTGAATAGATCCTGCCAATCAAGGATGCCACGTACCCGTTTCCATGGGCTACTTCACAGACTGCAACGCCATCATCGAATGTGAAATCTTTGGGGAACATCCCTACGGCGGAGACTGGAAAACGCAAATTTGAAACTGTCAGCAAATCAGGTTTGGGTCACAGAGCAACTGCATGGGAACATCAAAAATTTTCGGAATATGTCAGCCGCTACCCCCAGATTCAGGACTTTCAGAACCAGTTGGAAGATCAATTCCCAGGGCAAGTGAGTTTTCATTTGCCACGTTTGGATGCCTTGTCTGGAACCGTTGTGCGACATTGTTCAAACTTCTTGGACAATTTGATTGAAGTCCAGGGTCCGGTGATGTTCAAAGTTGGTTTCACCCACAACCCTGTTTGGAGATGGGGTAGTCCTATCTATGGCTATACCTCGAAAGCAACAAAAGAGAAATACTCCAACATGTCGGTGATATATGCAGCTCCGGAACCTTACAGCCCCGCTATGCTGGAAGCAGCATTGATTGATAAATACAAAAGACTCTTAGTTTAATTGATGATATATATTGTCGTTGTTTTCTTCCGTGTGCTATGATGTACCCCATCCATCTGTTATTTAGGGTGCCAAAATCAAGACTGTTTTAAAAATCTATATTTTTCAATTTTTGTCTTTGGGCCCTGGCACTTCCATCCGTCAATTCCCTGTTTCGCCAAGGTACCGTTGGATGCAAAAACGAGAAGAGCGGTGGTGACACATGCAAATGGGAGGGCCAAACCTCAGGTGATCAGCTGTTTATGGTGTACATTGTGTTTAAATCTTTTAAGCACCCGCCACCTGTAAAAAGAACACGCGTTTTAAACTGCGGGCATGTTGATGCAAATGGTCTTGTGTATAGATGCATGACCTGAATGTCTAAGCCCGGCAGTGGCTTGAAGGATGTTGATTGTAAAACAACACTTGCTGAATTGACAATTTGCTCAAGTCAGAGCACTGCCTTGTGGGAGAAACCACTGCATGCGAAGCTCAAAGGGTTTAAGAAAACCAGATTGCAGATCCGTGCTGACAGTGCAGTCACTTTTGCAACCCAGCTTTGTGCATATATTATACATATCGGTCTATGTTTGTTATATCATCTCTCGATCTCTCCCTGCCATTTATATATATATATATATAAAATATCGCTTTCTCTCTCTCTCTCTCAATTTGTCTCTTCTATTTTTGATCTCTGCAATCTTTATATATAATCTTTTTTTTGCGCTTTCGCTGAGGCCCCTTGCGCTGGGATCATTCGATCCGCGAGAGGCTTTGTGAGAGATGTGGGCAGGGAAGCCGCTGCTAGGTCAGGTGGTTTGCTGAAATTAGCCAGCCGTTCTGTTGGTCAGGCAGAAAGGGATTGCCACAGGCTGGTTGGTCAATATAACCTTGGCCTGCCAATTCCCAAGACGGATCTGAAAACTGGACGTGGTTTCTCAATACCTGTACTGAGACTTCGTGATTGGGCACAATTCTTGATTGATGGAAACCACTCTCATATGCTGGTCGGGCTGCGGAAGCCAGATTGGGAACGTGAGACTGCCATACTCAAGAAATTTTGGGAGCTGTTTCGTTGCCAGAATCCTGACCATCCGGTGTTCGAACAATCTCGTCTTGGCAACTTGGATTTAGGGAAAACTTTTCCCATGGTTTTTCATGGGGACGAAGGCAGAGGAAGAAAGCACACTCCTCAACTTGTTCTCAATTTCCATTCGGTGCTTGGAAGAGGTGTTCGGGTCAAAAACAAGAAGAAAGCAGGCTCTTACATCAAGATGTCTCCCAATTTCCATGGCCACTCGCTCACTACGAGGTTCTTGCTTGCAGCAGTGCCAAAGGTTCTCTACAGCTGGGACAACGATGAAGTTTGGCAAGATTTGATGCAGCTCGCGACAGATGAGGCAAATTTTATGTTTTATGAAGGCGTGCTCGATGGCACATGTCGACGTGGCAAGTTCAACATGGCTTTGCTTTTTATCTCAGGAGATTGGCCATGGCTTGCTGATTCGGGCAACCTGGCGAGGAGCTACCGCAATGTGCAGAAAAAGAAGAACCAGCAAAGACACCTTGGCATTTGCCACATGTGTGCTGCGGGCCAGACCGGCTATGACTTTGAGGAAATCAACTCCCGGCAGCCGCAGTGGCTTCGCACGATGTTTACGCTGGACTGCTTCTCCGAAGGTGGACCCCCACCATTTGCAGATCTACCTCATGTGCCAGGGCGTCTGGCAGAGCTATGGAGGTTTGATGCTTTTCATACCCTTCACTTGGGCGTGTGCAAGATCTTTTTGTCCAGTTCTTTGGCCCTGCTTTCAGAACTCCAGCCAGAATCTGCGATCGACGACAGATTCGCATCCCTCAGTGCATTGTATCTGTCATGGTGCAAGACACACAGCGAACGGCCATGGGTGAGCAAATTGACCAAGGAATTGCTCAATTGGCCAAGTACTACAGTATTCCCGACAGGAAGCTGGCACAAGGGTGCGCTTTCGACAACATTGATGAGATGGTTTCAATTTCGCTTTGAACGTGAGGGTTCCAATTGGCCTCCGATGCTTGCACGGGCTGGTGAGGCATGTGTCTTGATGAACGATTTCTTGAAGGGCCTATATGATGCAGAAGCCTGGTTGCCCGCGTCAACTGCACAAAAAATCGCTGAAAATGGTTTTGCATTTTTGATTCAATATGCTCGCCTGGCTCGGATGGCATACCTGGAAGGAAGGCTGCTGTGGTCATTGCAGCCCAAACTGCACTGCCTCCACCATTTGGTAATCTATCTCTTTGAGTCTTCTGTATCTGGACATCGCGTACTCAACATCCTTTGTTTTTCAACCCAACAAGACGAAGATTTTGTAGGGCGACCGAGTCGTCTGGCTCGTCGAGTCACCCCCAAAGTCTTGCAAAGCTGCCATCGCGTCCTGGACAGATATTTAATTGCCACACATTCGCAGTGGGTGAAGGATCGATATCTGCTGACACCAGAAGCAAGTGCTGGCTCGGTGTCAAGATGAAATTGGTGTATCTTGAGCCATTTGCTTATATATGTCTTCTATATTTTCTCTCCTATAATTATATGTGTATATATATTATAAATATATATAGTCTCCTATATAGTTGGGTTGCAGTATATATATGTGCTTTTGTTTTTGCACTGACCCTTGCAGGCTGAGGCCGGCACTGCTACATTAGATATAGCAATACGCGTGATCTCCACGCGCTTGAGCTCAAAAATGACACATCTGTGCTGTGGGCTGGTGAGCCTGAAAATCCAAAACCCCGGGTTTTCATTTGAAACCCCGGGTTTGAAGCTAGACCCTGCGAATTTTAAGGGTTAGGTAGGTGAAGGTATATATATATATATATTTGTATAAAAAATATGGATATTTGATGGTTAGGAGGGAGCCAAGGAGCTACGAATAGAGTTTCCCAACCAGATGATAGTTACTAGAAATAGTGATAAAATAGTGTTCTATCTCTTTCAGGGTTACCATAGGCATAGGTTATGAGATGCTGTGAGAACTTGATTTGGCTAGGAAATTCCAATATTGGGTGTGTCTGGAAATGGGGAATGCCCATTAAAGTGCCATTTGCATAGTAAGAAACATGATGACGAACCATGAAGTTTTGAGGCACCCTATTTTCCCAGACGCACCCATATTTGAGGTTGGGTATGCGCAATGATGTGATATGAGATTAGTAATTAGTATATTCGACTAACATCTGAGTCTAGTTTAGCAGATAAGTGCATGATATTAAAATATATTGAATGTCCATTCCGTCCATACACTATATAATCATCTTCTGTTTTTCTGGATTCCACCATCCTGTTGCATAAAGTAGCTGATCTTGGGGAAGGTACAGAGGGGTCCAGTCCCCGCAATCCGCTGACTGCGGCTGATTGGTGAAAAGACAGAGGATCCAACAGCTTGATTCGGTTGCAGTTGACGTATGTCTGGTTGGTGGTTTGGAACATTGGTTTAGTATGGGTTAATGATGGCTAATGATGGTTAATGATGGTTAATGATGGTTAATGATGTTTAATAACCACTGGTTGGTGGTTTGGAACCATGGAATTTGATGTCCCATTGAAAATATATGGGATGTCATCCGAAACCCATTGACGAACTCATATTTCATATTTTTCAAGATGGTTGGTTGAAACCACCAACCAGATCATGAAATTGGATGATGATTTACCCTCTGGTAAACTCGCATATCCATGGAAAATCACCATTTTTCATGGGTAAATCAACTATAAATGGCCATATTATGGTTCCCTGGATCCATGGTTTGAATCTGTTCTCACCTGAACGCTGGCGAGATCCCCAATAAAACAGCAACGACGTTCGCTGCTTCAACCGTTCAACCACGACCTGACACGTTTTCCCGGGTGTTAACCAACTTGGCGAAGCTGGGTACGGTCCAACTGACCCATTTGTCCCATTGTTGCTCAATGAAATCCTTCTAAGTCCCAATTGTCACTGTCCATTGTTTTCTCAGTTTTAGTCAATAATTTCCACCTAAGTTTCCATTTTCATTGCTTTAAAATCCCATTTCATCGCCCAAAAATCCGCACAGCGTGGGGCCCCAGGAATGCTTGGAGCGTCGCAAAACCGCGCCCGTCCTCCGGCCCACAGGGCTGGTGCCGCCGCTGCCCGCGAAGTGAAGCGAAGCGCAGCGGTCGCGTTTCCACGGGAGAACGGCGGCAGATCCAAAACTCGGAACGGAGAAGAACTGGCGCAACTTTCATCATAAACAATGGGGATCTAACATGATGAACAACCAGCAAAAAGGATGATATGTATATATATATAATATATAATATATATATATATATATTATATCTATATAACTATACAACCAAGACAAAATGTGATTGAACAAACAAACATGGGGATTGAAGCACCAAAAAGGGTGGTACAATGGTGATTTTAACGCCCCTGGAATGATGGGAATTGGATTGCGGGAATCATCCCCAAATGGGCCTATGAGAACAGCTATTTTGTTCAAGCCAGCCTGTTTTCTTTAACCATTCATAAGGGGGGAAATCACCCATGCTTTTCTATTTGTGGCCCATTTATGGCTTGATTTTGGTTTTGACCCCTTTGAAGAGATGGATATGGTTGATGTTTTCTTGAAATCAACTTAGCAAGTCGCAGCAAACCAATCTAAACCATGCTTTGGTAGGTTACTTGGTCAATTCCCAACCATCAATGGGGCCAGGCAACTAATTATCCAACTAAATTTCAGTTTTATTTATTTATTTTATCTAAGATTAGTCATGAAGCCGCGTCAGTTCGGGATAGACATATATTGGTTGATCGGAATCAATTAGGCTGAAACATTTCTATGTATATCTCTCTACATAAGCGTTTCTCGGGAGTAGAACAGTTCAAACTGGATGTGATATACGCAACAGAAACAACAGGGATACGAACCAGACAGATTAAGAACAAAAACGTTTCTCAACCTGTGAAGAAGAAGAAACCGGTAAGAAGTACATGGCTACCAGGGTGATTCTCTATGTTAGCGTTTTCAACACCCCTGGATCCACCTTTGCATGACTCCAAGTTACTCAATGTGAGCTGGTTGGTGGTTTCAGTATCTCTAATGACTCTAATGCTGGGATGATTTCTCTGCATATAGACATTGATAGAGAGTGGTTCAACACCACTGACGTGAAAACAAACACATCACGGCTCCTCCGTGCAGAAGAACACCACAGCTTGGTGTCGTTGGGATGCCCAGGCTGACAGTTGAAGTCTTTGTTGCATCGGGATGTGCAGACAGCAAGGGGTGGTGCAGCGAGTCGCAACTTCGATCATTCTGATGGAGGGCCACTAGTTACTAGAGATTACAAACTTCAAGCAATCGAATGAACATCCTGACATGTTGGGTCATGAGTCATGAGTCATAGTCATAGCCAAGATTTGTTTGGAGGCGACAGGAGCCGGCTTTCCATAAACGTGTTTTGCTTTGTTGTTTGAAGGGGGTTACGAATCGCTGGATTTATTGAGAAGACGAATACACGAAGCCATGCTTTTGGAATCCAAATATAGTGTTTCCCTGTACATGTTCCCTTCAATTGCTTCGCGAATGAAACCATTTAATATCATCTCAAATCTACCTGTAGATGATTTTTTTGTGAAGCAGTTGCCAGAGTGCAGAACAGAAACAATCGCTTGCTTTTGCTTCTTGGCCATCGAATGGTTTGACAAGAGACATGCGTGTCAGAGCTATGTACCTGAAAGTCTTAGCAACAAATTCAGACAAATCATATCCGCGTATATCCGCGTCACTGATCAACATCAGCAGAATGATGCGTCTTCATATACAAGCTGGTGCCCCTCAGTTATGTTTGTTGGTTTGCAACCGCATCTATCATTTTAAGTCCGTTAACCTACTTGACCTATTTTTGGAACCAACTTATTCAGCCAGTTGGGGTACCACCCAACCTTTCAGCAATCACCTCATGATATAACCACCCAACAGCTCGGTGATCTATGGTCTTGTCACAAATTACACTTTCTAATCCAGATATGGACCTGGATCAAACACCAAAATTGAGGTACACCTGTCGGCATATCATTAAAGATGATGGCCATGGAACTGGATTTGGTGGACCATCTGACATCTCTTGCTGCCTGCTTTGTCGATCGTCCTGATGCGAACCTGCTGCCGTCCCCAAAAGCGGGAAAGCTTGGCCGGTCGTTGTTTTCAACTAAGGACCCGTTTCGTGGGTGGTGACAAAAACTTTCCACATCGGAGTAACCCGAAAATCTGGGCAAAGGACCCAACCCATGGCTCAGGGAAGGCATCATTTCGACCAGAGCCTCCCGATGCCCCCGACAAGATTGTCAGAGACAGAGATTGAACATCTTATTGAGGAGCTCAGACTCAAAAACCAAATGGACTGGACCTATATGGATGTGGGTCAGAATGGAAGACCTAGGGGACCACAGATGTTAGTCTAGTTTAGTATTAACCATCCAATTATTGGGGTACCTAATTTTGACCCATACCCATATAGCTACCAGATCTTGGAGCGCCATTGCTGCCGTTTTGCCGATGTCTTAAGCCAGCGTCTCGAGGTCGGCGGCATTTCCACAGTGGACATACTATGGCTTGGTGGATCGCTTCATAGTCCGCTTTTTACACTACTGAACGTTTAAATTCACCGGAACGGATTTTTTTTAAGCTATTTATTTATGGTGGGCAAGTCCCAAAGCATTTACCCTCTGGTAATTTAACATAGCTATTGAAAATGGCCATTTATAGTGGATTTACCCATTGAAAATGGTGATTTTCCAGGTCAAGTCTGGCAAACATTGGTAGCGCCGCTGCGGCTAGGCTCTTCATGCAGACTTTCATATATTGTCTCTGACTCTGAGCATGGGTCACAATCCCACAAGAACAACATTTTAGGTTGGTGGGTCAGTGAACCATCGTAAATTACCAAGAACAATGGAACACATGGATAGTTCAATGCATCTAAATAGCTGGTTGGTGGTTTGGAACATGTTTTATTTTTCCATATAATTACTGGGAATAATCATCCCAACTGACTTTCATATTTTTCAGAGGGGTAGGTCAACCACCAACCAGATACCAAAGATTGCCGAAATCTTCCCCCGGGGGGATGATATGTGGATGGTCACGCTATTTCAATCATCCACACTGAGCTGAACTCATGTTTGTTGTCGCTTGTTGCGCATGGCACAGCACTACCTCCAAGTGGAACGGATTCATGGCAATAGTCCAATCTCCAAGCCAGACGCAGAATCTTTTACTGTATCGCAATTGAAGTAAGGGGAGGTGTTGGGTCTAATGTCGACTGTCCAACAGGTCTGCCGAATTCTTTTCCACCGAGTCTGAACATATCTCTCGGTCCTGTCTGGAAAGTGTACAAACCCCGTCCTGAATGAAGGTTTTTGGTGTTTACCTGTTTACCATCTTTTCCCAAAACAGTGATTTCATAGTTTGACCCCCTTCTTCGTTCCTGACTGAATCT